GGAAGACTCTTTTGACGAAACAGAATCCTCTGTTGGCTCATCTCGTCCTGACCCTTCAGCACCAAAGAAGAAAACCAGAAAGGATAAGGGGGAACCCAGTAAGGCGAGGAAAGGAAAAGAGAAGAAGTAGGGTCTTCTCAAAATGTTTTAAGATGTAACGCTTTATTCTTTGCCTTGGAATAAAATGTGGTGTATTATGTTCTAATCTTATGCTCACAGAGAGATAAATCTTTATTTGATTTATTTTATCTTGTTTGAGAACCGAAATATAACTGATGCACAGACCTTTATGAAATCCTGTAACTGTTACATGATCTCCGTGGTCATCATTGAATTACGTGTTATCAGTCAAAGCCGAAATAAATGGTTCGCTGACAAACGTAATGGCATTGAATGGTCATTCAATGCCCATTAAATTCATTGAGGAACATCATTCTCTTTCAGCTATAAAAGGACATGAGTTGTGAACACAAAATTCACTCATTTCTCATTCTTCTTCTCAATACCATCACAAGAGAAACAAATTGCTCATGGCATCCAGCAGGCTAGTAACATGCTTGCAAACTCAAAAGCAGAAAGAATCTGACCGTAATATAAGAGAAGAACAAGGGGACTTTTATCCTGGAAATAGCGTACACGCTCCCCTAGATCTTTCATCAGATGACGAACATCTTGATAATGATGATGAATCTCTCACCTCTGACCATGAAGAGAACCCCATTGCTGATCTCCACGAAGCTCCACCACCGATTGAAGGAGGACGAAACTTTCCCTCCGCTAAAGACTGGAAGAACCCTCTGGCTGACCGTGACTATCTCATGTACCTAAGCACTCATGCTAGTGAATCTGACACTAGCAGTGAAGCAAGGACAACACCTACTCCTTCTGGGTCGAAGACAACCAAGACTGCCAAATGGTTTCGACAGGAGTTAGGCAAAATTATGTCAATGAGAAGTGTGGAGAGCATCAACGTGAAGGGAAAAGCGAAGAAATAAATTTCTTTCGTTTGATAATTTCTTATGTACTCAAATTCTATATCTCTCTCTGATCATCATCAATAAACTTCCTTTTGTTGCATGTTGCCGAAACTTTATTTGTTTCATATTTTCACTAACATGAACTGATATCAAACGAAATGACAATAAAAGAGAAGTAAATCTTTATTTGATTCACTTTATCTTTTGAGAATGCTCTGTCACATCTATATCATTTTTTCAGGAATCTCTTTCCGAAACCTTGGAACTCATGAATATCTTTTTAGAAAATGATTCCTCCTCATGTTTAGTCTTTCACATATGGAATATGTGTCATACCTCGATATGGACGGCCATTCTTGCCTATAAATAGACAAACCTTGTAATGGTATGACCATCCCATCTTTTGAAAATGGATAAGGGAAAGAAAAAGATTTCTTCCTCAGTAGCCTTGCCGAAGAAAGACAAGAAGGAAATCCAAGAAATGTTCAAATTACTCAGTCTCTCTTACGAGCACGGAGACAACTCCCCTGGTTCAGCTGCCAAGAAGCTTCCCTCAACTATCCTCCAAAACAACCATCCTCCAATTGGTCCATCTCCTCTTACGCTGCATGCTTTCAAGGATGATCCGAATTATGCCATATGGGAGGACTTCTGTGACAAGAAGACTCGTGAGACTGAAGAGGAACAGCTCAAAAAGAAGTTGAAAAGAACTTAAGGATGAAGGTGTTCTATGTAATGAAGTAGGACGAGAGATGATTGTAATATTACCTATGTTCGTCTTTGTAATAAATCATCTCCATATTTCGTGTGTTCTCTCTCCTATCAAGCGAATCTTTCAAAACGAAACTTTCTCACCCAAAACTTTCACTCGTTGATATCAACAAGAGAATCTTTATTTGATTCTCGTATACGATCACTCTTCTCTTAGAAGAATAAATATGCTGACGGTTATTTAGAAATGAAGGGTTTCATCCGCAACTGTTCAATGAAGTTGGTTGAAGAGATCGTGTAGCCTAAAACTCCGGCCCACTACCCCAGGATCCCATGTTAGTCGATGCGACAGGCATTTAATTCGGGTGTATGCACTCAAGTGCTTTTCTCTCTCATCTTTAATTGGGAATGATCAAAATTGATCTTATACTAGCCTTATCAGAACCCCTTACCATATCAGATTACCTTATTGGTAGAAGTGGAAGCGTCTTTTTCATTCAAATTCAAATACAAATCTGGTTTACCCGGATGAACAACTTGACCCGTGAGACGACCCATTGAAAAACCTCCCCCTTTTAACCTAAACCACCATCCTCACTTCACTTTTTCCCTCCGTCTTCCAAAACTTCTCTAAAACACTCTCAACCTAAAACCCTTCCTTTGATCATCAAACTTCCCTTCCAAGCCCAAAAAAACCCAAACCTCCATATCAGAAGCCATGGCAAAGAAATCCAAAGCAACAGCGTCTGATGCAGAACAAGAAACGCCGGCAACAATGGTGATACCTAGTTTTCCAACCTCCGAGATCAAATTCATAGAGTCAATAGCTCCCTTCATCATAGGCGGATGCATGTGGGATGCTCATGGTTTCCTTGAGTATGTCCTCGAAAAAACCTTTGGAGAGAAAGTCATTAATCTTTTGAAGGACAGTGGGTTGTACAGCTTTGTAACCCACCTCTATACATTCTGGTTTCTGGTGGACGTCGCTCAGTTCGATCTGAATGTTACAGTGTCCGCCGATGGCTCAGAAATCTCATCAGAAGTCAATCGCACTGCCGTATCGCTAACCGCTGAAGATGTGAAGAAAGCATTCAACTTCCCGGATCGTGATGAGACGTACCATTCGGACTTTTTCGGTTACTACTACGAACAGAATGCATTCTACGAACGCATCAAGAATAAACAAGGACCAACCGAGATTACTTGGCCCTTGAAGAAGAAATGGCTTCGACTTGACTAAGAATTCACCGTTGACATCTTCAACAAAATCGTAGAGCACAAGACTTCGGGGACAGATGATGTCACGAAAGATAAGTTGAAAATGCTACACGCCTTCCTTGGCGATTACAAAATGGACTGGTCGAAAGTTGTATTTAATCAACTTTGACACATCATCACTTTTGGACAATCATCACCTGGAGACATTTCAAAGAAAATTGGATTTGGCTTTCTCGTAAGCCATCTTCTCGCCACAAAGAAAGTTCCTCTTCGTGCGGGTGTTCTCCATGGCCCGAAGGTATGCCACATGAAATCCAATCCTTCGGGATATGACAAGCAGAAGGCACTGGAGTTAGGACTACCATTGGACTCGGTAAAGTCCAAACGTAAGTCCAAAAAGGCCAAAGAATCTGATGATGATCAGCCCAAGCCCAAGAGACGAAAGAAGGAAAAGGTCTCTCCCACATCAGCAACGAAAGATCAATCTAAAGCTCAGCCTGTTCCCGAAACAACATACCTGAAATCCTTGGCTGATACCAAGAAAGATGACATCGAAAAAACACCGTCGATCTCGAACCCTACAACAGAGCCTGTTGTTATTGAAGACTCCTTAGAAGAAGAAGTTGCTACTCAACCAAGCCCTATACAAGCATCAAAAGGTCACTTTTGACCTACAATTGCCCAAGCAAATGAGATCATGGCGAGATTAGTTGCTCCTCCTCCATCCAGCCTGTCTGAAAAGTTGAAAAAGAAATCTGCATCTTCTCAGGGGGAAGAAAGTTTAAAGAAAAATGACACATCTCGGAAAGCATCGAAGAAGCGGAAGTCCAGATCTGCACGAATAGAAAGCTCAAAGCAGAATACCTTACCACAGGAACCCGTCTTAGCAGAGCAACTCAACCCGAGTTTGACACAAGAACCTGCTGAGATGGAGAAGGATATCTGTGATCTTCCAAATCCCTCTGATCACTTAAATCTCCCACAAGAACCTGGCTTGCCAGAAGAGACGAGAGGAGTGATCAATGATCCAAATGTTCTGTCAACACCCGTCACCGAAACATCCCTCCCACAAGAACCTACCCATGCAGAGCAGATAATGCCTATTATGACACAAGAACCTGCTACGGTAGAAGAGGACGAAAGTTTTCCACAACCTTCGAATCACTTAAGTCTCCCACAAGAACCTAGTTTTCCAGCCGAGACAAAAGAAGTGATTCTGGAGCCTGAAACCAATCCGAAAGAAGTGGTGCCTGAACCCGAAGCTGCTCCAATTTTAGATCTCGCACAAGAATCTGCTTTACCAGCAGAAACGATAACAGTGTCTGCAGTACCAGAAGTTGATCCAAACCCTCCCCCATCACGAGATCAAGTGCTTCGACTCTCAATTGAAACTAACTACCAGAGAGTCATGCAATGGCAAAAGTGGCGAACCTCACCTCTGCAAGTATTTCTCGAAACCTTCGATGAAATGAAAGATGAAGAAGACTTTGCTCTCGAGTGGCTCGGCACACGAAAATTCTATTCATACAAGGTGACCAACCGAACGTTAGGAAAAGAAAAGGCTCCCATTTGCATTGAACTGAAGTAACCACCTCTTGATCCCGTCTTTGAAGAAGAAATGAAGGAATTCTGACTTGCCCTTCTACTATCCAAGGTCAAAACTGAGTTGGAGAGAACTCATCAAAACGATCCCGCTTGCAATGTCAGCGGATCAAAGGACAAGGATGGTAAAGAAATTGAGGACATTGGTGAAGTCAAGGAAGTCGATGCAGAAGACGAAAGGATAAGTGAAGGAGAAAATAGCAATAAGAATGGATATGATGAACATGAATCTCCAAATGATGAAAACAACGATGAAGATGATGAGAATAATGACAAGGGAAATGATGATGATGAAGATGATGAGAATGATGATGAAGACGATGATGAGAAAAAGGTCGACGATCACTATGATGAACATGATAATGATGACTCGGGTGATGATGATGACGATGATAACAACTCGGACTATGATAGTGAATCTCCTGTCATAGGCAACTCCGAACTCATACCTGACAGATCCCCCACACCGAATCCATCTCCACCCAAGGACACTCCTCCTCGTGATCCTTCATCTGTGCCTCACTACTACAGAAATCATCTTTAACGTCTCCAATACAATGTCGGTTTTTTAATAAATCGACGTTAAATATTTAAAATAATTAAAAAAAGACATTCAACGTCGATTTCTTCAGACAACCGACGTCTTATCTCTTAAAAATAAATAAAATAAGAAATTACAAAAGATACAACGTCGGGTAGACCTATAACTGACGTCGTACCTTATTAATTTTTTTTTAAAAAAAAGAAGAAATAAATATACTATACGACGTCGGCTAGAAGGTAGCCGACGTCGTATAGTTTACGATTTTTTTTTTAATTTTTATATTGAAGATACAACGTAGGTTATTTATAATAACCGACGTTGTATCCTTTATTTAAAAAAAAAAATATTAACTATACGACGTTGGTCAATATTTAACCGAGGTCGTATTGTTATTTCAGCCCTAATAGTTCATCCGCCGCCTGCTACTTCATTCAAACAACACACATCTTCTCCGTCTGCTACTTCATTCAAACAACACACATCTTCTTCTTCCATCCGCTCGCCACATCGTCGGCTCCACCGTTTCCATCTTCTAGTCGCCACGGCCGTCGCCCCCTCCCCTTCGTCGTCGCCTCGCCTCACCACAATAGCGTCGCCGGTCTTTCCTTGCCTCGCCGGACGTCCCTTGCCCCGCCGGACGTCGCCTTGCCCCGCCGGACGTCGCTTGCCCCGCCGGACGTCGCTTGCCTTGCCGAACGTCGCGTTGGAGGAGGTATGAATGAATATAAGTAGACTTGAATGCTGGATCTCGTTGCCTGTTTATATTTATCTATACTAAATAAATTAATCTGTTATATACTCCGTATTAAACAGTGGGCGAAGCTTACATAACATTGGACATGGTCTTAATCCCTACGAGCAAGCAATCTCCATTATTGGGAAAACTTTGGTTGCCTTTAACCTCATCTCGATCGGGTTGTATGTATTTGTAGGCATAGATGGACAGTTTGTAGGCGTAGATGGACAGGATGGTATGAAGCTCATCTGTGGGATAATAGTTGCAGGAAGGAAGGGCAATCACTAAAGGGTCGTCAAGGTTTAATTTCCACTTTTTCTAAGTTTTAATTATTATAATAATTATTATTATTGTTATTATTGTTGTTGTTGATGATTCCTAACCATTTTTCTTTTATTGGTATTGACTTGGTTAGATCTGATAATCACTAATAGTGTATCTGGGGGAGTTTTTCCTTCTAAGTTCTACATTCTCTCCATATTTTAAAAAATAAAGTATATTTATTCATAATCATAATCTTTTTATTATTAGGGTTAATATTTGTTTGTTTTTTAATAATATGATCGAATATAGGTGGATACAACTATACAAGGAGGATAAAGCAGCTAGGGTTTATGATCTTGCTGCATTAAAATACTGGGGAACTTCTACAACTATTAATTTCCCAGTAAACATTTGTTCTTTCATTGCATGGGTAGTATTAATTTGGACCGTTTAATTTAATTTTTGGGGGAAAAAAAGAGGAAGAAAATTTAATGTTGTTGGGTATTTCTTGAATGCAGATTAGTAACTATGAGAAAGAAGTGGAGGAGATGAAACACATGACTAGACAAGAATTTGTAGCTGCAATCAGAAGGTAATTAAGTTGATTTTATTATTAATTATGGATTAATTTAATTTAATTAATAAAAAATAATTACTAGAGAATGAATGGATATTACGAATTCTTTATATGTGAACACATGGTATAAAACAAGAATGTGGTTATTATGTTATGAAATTCATGTTGAAAATTATTTTCAACAACCACTTCAAGGGAATGAACAATGCAAGTAATTTAATAAAATATCTTTCTCTTTCAAATTTTTTAAAATAGTAGTTTATTTATTATGTAATTTTTTCCCCAATTTTGTAGCATTTAGAGAGACAAGGATGTTTGCCCTACAGTCATTGATGAAGTTAGAGATGTATGGTGTAAGTATTTTATTGATGAATGGCTTAAAGCAATCCTTGAAGTTTAGTTGATGTTGGTAATTTAAGTTTGAAATTATTATTATCAATATTATCAATTGAAGAATTACCATAAATTTAACTTGTTTAGTTGATGGTATGAGTTGCTTTTGAATTAATTGTACGATTTATTAGTTTTGATTAATTGTGAGATTTTGAATATCAAATTGCTGGACAAGTTAAGAAAATTGTTGTGATTTGTAAAAGCTGTACAAGTTTAATTGCGTGGAAAATCGTTAAAAAATAAAATAAAATAATAAACGACGTCGGTTATTTATAAATAATCGACGTCGTTTATCTTTTTTTATTTTTAAAGTTAACATAAGACGTCGGTTTTTTCATAAAAACCGACGTCTTATGTGAATTTATTTTTGTTTTTTTAAATATACGACGTCGGTTTTATTAAAAAACCAACGTCGTTTCTTAATTAAAAATAATTTTAAAAACTTTACGACGTCGGTTATTTCTTAATAACCGACGTCGTATGTTAATATTAAAAATTTAAAAATTATACGACGTCGGTTTTTTGACCGACGTCGTATCTCATTATTTACGACGTCTGCTGCCTAGACGTCGGTCGAAAATCGACGTTAAATGGGGTAAAAAAACCGACGTTAAAGCCCTTTTTTTGTAATAGTGCCTCCACCAACACACAGTGAAACTGTTGCAAATCCTGCAAGTGATGACAAAATGGAAGCATCACCTCGCGATGATAAACTGGAAGCTCACCTCAAAGACAGCCGTTCGTTTTTGAACACAGAAGTGCACTTCGAAAACCTATGCGTCTTTATCCTGAACAAGGGCCCGATATTGAGTATCTTGATCCCGAACACATCATGCATCAGATGCTGAACACACTCCATCAAGCCGAACTCATACATCAACAATACTTATTTCATCGAGAGAAAGACAGCCGAACCTTAGAAGACTTGTCCATTAAGATGGACCAAATGATGAAAGCCATGTCTCAGCAGCAACCAAGCTCTTCTACTGTCGATCCGCAAGAAAAGATAACAAAGGAGCTCCATCGTCAAAGTCATCTTCTTGACAAAATTGCAAAAGAGCAGCTGTAACACCCCGTGTTACGGCCTCTAAACCAAACTAATTATTTAATTACTTACCCTTAAAAGGGGATTAAATTCCGTTAACTAATTAAGAAGGGTCCACCATAAGCCATGGACCCTTACCCCTAAAACCAAACCCTTAGTCCTATAAGGAATAGAATTAGTGAATCCATATCATTCAGACCCTAATTAGGACTCTTAGATATATATAAGGACATAGGAGGCACCTAGAACTCACACCACAATAGCTCTCACCACACAAGAATTCCCAAGAATTCCCATAGGAGAAATCAAGAAGAGGAGATCTTAGAGAAAGACCCTTTATAGACAAGGATTCTAATTAAGGCTAAGAGGTAACCCATGTCTCAACAAAACCTATTTTCCTTGCTATAATCTTCTTCTTTGCCTCCTTATTCTATGCTTGTGTCTTGATAAATCTTTTATGATGATTACGATATGATCTTAATGTTGATGAGATGATCTTATGTGTTGATCTTGATAATCTTGATGATTATAAGAGGATCTTGATAATTATGTGTTATTCTTGATAAATCTTGATGTTCTTAAATTTAGAGATAAGGTATGATTTTGTGATTTAAATATGATTAAAGCCCTAGGTTGAATCGTGAATTTCGTATTGTGATATTCTTGGTATATTTGGGTGGGAATTCGCATGTTCGGGTATTGACTATGTTTAGAAGTCATGTTAGGATATGTTCAATGTGATTCTTGATTTTGATCCGTTATTTGACTACGTGGTGTTGTCGTTTGCGTTTAAAATTGTCTAAACCTGGTTTCGAGTTTCACAAAATATCCCGGGACCCAAGTATTGAAAAAGAGCCAGTGGGGGTAGGGGAACCCGCCACCTACCCGCTGCCCCTATTGGGCGTCGCCGGCAGCGGGCAGGTGACTTCCCGCCGGGCACCCGCTGCCCAGCGTCTCGCCGCCGACGGGTGGTCCTCCACCCGTCGGCCACCCGCTGGTTTCTCCCAATGTGGGAAGGTGGTTTCCCAGTTTGATGTTTCCCCAACCCTCGTGGTGTCCCAACGGACTCCGTTTATCGTGCCTGAGTCTAGTTTGATGTTTCGGGTACCGTTCGTATGATAAAAGAGTCATGCGTATTGCATGCTAGTTGAATTGGTATCCCGTTGGCCTAGGTGAAAGATGTATGAACCCCTTAGAACTATTCTTAGTATGTGGATGACCACGCATAGGTTTCATTATACGTTTTCTCCCCTTTCCCAATGTGTTAATGTGGCTTGCTTGTGCTTGCTATGTGTTATGTGTGCATGATACCCCAATTTGGTTGCAATCAAATTGGCAATACGGGCAGTTGGATGGGTTGAGAACCATACCAACTGTTAACCAGGCCGGTTGCAATCGGTCAGGTATATAAATATTATATAGGGCTGTGGTCCACCGTTTGGTTGCGATCAAACGTTTTACTTGAGCTGCGGTTCATAATCTGGTTGCGATTAGAAATACACTTTTGGGCTGCGGTCCACTGTTTGGTTGCGATCAAACATTATGATGAGCTGCGGTTCATCGGTCGGTTGCGATCGACCCCTTCGTGTTGCTAAACGAGGCAGGGTGCTGCGGGGCCGTGTTAGCGCTATATGCACTAACCCTCATGTATGGGCGTGCGATTGGTCCTGTGGCACCACCAAAGTGTGCTTATGTGTTGAGATAATGATTGAATGATGATATGAACGATGTGAAATAATCTTGTGACCTTAGAATATATGCTAGTATCTCTATATGCATGATTATAACTGTTGAATGTGCTTGTCCGTACTTGTTGAGTCTATTCTCGGTTTTAAAGCTAGAGTCTCCTAAGTATATATCTTCCGCCTTCAAAATGATTTTCCTATATATATATATATATATATATATATATATATATATATATATATATATATATATATATATATATATATATATATATATATATATATATATATATATATATATATATATATATTGTATTTTAACGCATTGGAGTGGGTACCAGCATTATTCGCTGAACAGATATATTTGGCTTTCAGGAACAGATGAGTAGCTCCGGAGCGCGCTAGAGGACCAAGGCTTAGATAGTTAGTTTTTCTTTCGGCATGTGTGCCATGATGATGTATTGACATTGCTTTTAGGATATTTAGTTAGTATAGTCTGTGCATCTGAGTTCCCCAAAATCTTATGTTTAGTAATGCTATATTTCGGTATCAATAATAGTATTACCTTTATTATATAAGTTTTAAATGTTTCAAAAAAATCTGGGGTGTTAAAGTTGGTATCAGAGCCTAAGTTTGACCCTAGGATAAGACTCTTAAGACAAGACTTTAGGTCATTAAGCTTGAACTCTAGGTATTTAGTAACATAGGACTCAGGAATCATAGGACACGTGGTGAGGTTGTGAGCCTACCTATCATTATATAACTTCCCCCTCACTCTATTCTACATTTAATTTAAAGAACTCTCCCCTACGCTTATTGCATCAAGGTAAGGGTGCAACACACTAACTCCTCATTACAATAAACTTTGGCCCCGTAGACCATCAGCATGGCACCAAAGAGAAGATAATCAAGGACCCTCGAACCCACCACTCACGATCCTCTGGCTCAAACTCTACAGCAACTGACTCAGGTCGTCCAGACACAGAGCGACGTAGCTCTCCGTAACAACAACCGACCACCACCACCACCACCACCAAATGGGAACTCGGATATCACTCGACAAATCTCGAATCATCGGCCACCCATCTTCTCTGGGAAAGAGGACCCCGCAATCCTCGAAGAATGGATTCGAACCTTCGAAAAAATCCTTGGGTTAGTGAAATGCCCAGAAGAGCGCCGCGTAGAAATAGCCTCAT